ATGCAATTTATAATTTATTAGCTTTATAAAGCGTTTGATTACACGAAATGATAAAAAAATAAAAACATTGATCGTTACCTCTAATGTTGACATCTACTACGTACGCAAATTTAAAAAGAAGATGAAGAAATTAAAGAAGTGAAAATCAAGAAGAAGAAGAAGAAGAAGAAGAACATACTTATTATTCAGCTTATGATTCTTATAGGCTTGTTTGTCTTCAAACCACGTTTGACAGTCACCACAGTTGATCTCTTCATCCTTCTTCCCACCCATTTCTTCTTCTCTCTCTCTCTCTCTAGTCTCTACTTAGCTTCAATTCTTAAGTAGTGATGCATTAGGATAGTGTACGTATATATAGGCAGTTCCTTTGGTGCCTCTTCCAAAGTGGAGGTTTTAAAACCCTCCTCATGTGGCTTAATAAAAAAGAGACATGTGGACCTAATATTCCAACTCTTTTAAGAACTTAAATTATTCTTGTTAATTCAAAATTGGCCCCAATCCAAAATTAATTTATTTTTCTTCCCTTCAGCTCCATCATACGTTAATATATGCCATCTTCGTTAATTGTTTTGCTTTATTTTTCTTAGGTTTCCTTCTATTAATTTTTTCATTGATTAATGTCATTCTTGTTAGATGAACGAGTATTATGCTCTGAAATTTCGTCTTCTGGTTCCAAATATGCCTACTTCTCATTTTTTAATTTTGGATTGGGGCCAATATTGAAATAACAAAAATAATTTAAGTTCTTAAAAGAGGTGGAATACTATTATGTCCACATGTCTCTTTCTTATTGTGCCACATTGGGAGGGTTTTAAAACCCCCATTTTGGAAGAGGCACGGAAGGATATGCATGCATGGTTTGTGGATGGGTGTGTGGGAGATGTTACTATGTTAGTGTTACGGTGTGGTGAGGAGCATGGAGAGAATGCGCAACCTAGCTAGCCAGTGGAATATATACTAGAATTTGTACGCAACATTTGAATTTTTATTACTCCGATTAATTTACGAGTATGTTTATTTTCAAATAAATATATAAATGAATTTTTATTTTAAATGTTTTTTAAATACTCGTAGCAACCCGATCGATAGCTCGTAGGTTCGGGTTACGTGGGTTGGGTTGTTACATTTTGGCATTGGTGCATGTGGTTTTAAAAACAATTTGCAAAAAAAGAGGAAAAATGGCATCCACTGCTCCACGACGTCACTGCTCCAAGATGTAACTTTGAATTCTTATTGTGTACTTATGTGCAAATTGTTGTCTTGATAGTTAGTTAATTAATTTTTGTTAAGATATGTAAAAAAAGATACACAACATAACTCATGTGTGTTATCTTAATAAAGAAGATTCTTGAGTTGAAAAAAAATTTAGTTTTTCTAATCAAGAAAAAATTCAAGTAATATAAAGATAAAAAAAATGTTGGTTATTAAAAAAATATGTGTAATGTATTCAGAAAGTTAGTGACTCAAAAAGAGTCACCATTCACCATTATCAATGACGACTAGTGCAATCATGTTACAAAAAAACTACATCACGTGCTGAACAAGTGCATAGGTGATATATATATATATATATATATATATATATATATATATATATATATGTATATGTATATATATAGGTTCTGGTGAGAATATGATCTTATGAAAGAAATAAGAATGAATCTGGTGCTTTAGATTGTGAGATCTAAGACTCAGAATTGCATCAAAATTAGGTGCATCAAAATGGTTTGAAAATGCGTCATGTCGAAATACACCAAAATCCTTTGAAAATGCACTATCTCAAAGTATGAGTGCAAGATGCAATCTGAGCCGCACGATGCATCATATCCAAAGGCTAAATTTTGTTCTTATTTCTTTCACCAAAAAAGAAATGTAAGTGACTAATTTACCCGACACTCTACCCATGATTTTTGACCCACTTGAACTTTAACATAGTATCAGAGCAGGTCTGGTCAGGGTTCGATTCTCCCAGATTGTTGGACGTGGGTTTACCAAAAAATGAGCTATCCGTGGTTTGGATTGTAATACCCTAATCCATGCAGGTCTACAACCCTTTTTAGACTAAAGTATAAACTTGGTAATCATAAAAATTTAATACATTTCAAACTTTTTTATTTATTATAATAATATTATATTTTTCATAACAGAAACAATACGGGCTACATAGTTTTCAATATTGAGGAAGTTTAACAAATCACAATCACAAAACATAATTAATTTATGTTCTTTAATTCAAAATCATCACATCCATTCCGATTATCTCGCCTCTGTCTGCCGCCAGGATCATGTCACATCATTTTTTCTATTTACCTGCGTGTATCAAATAAAACATACTACACGCTGAACGTTGAAGCTCAATAAGAATATGTAATGCATCGAACATTCATATAAATTGAATCTCAAATCATAAACAAATCATTTGATATCATGCACTCTATACCTTTTCTTGTCATTTAAAATTCAAAAAAATAAATTTTAGAAATGAAATGCATGATTTGAAAAAAATGTTACTCCGTCCAATACAAATTAAGTTATTTGTTTACTATTCATAAGATCAAACTTTATTTAATATAGGCATGTCACTTCCTTAATATTGAAGAACTTTTAAAGTAATTTATAAATATGTAAATCTTATTTTTTTTTAATTCTACTATAATTTTCAAATAAATTATATTAAAAAATCTTCATTCAAATATTATAAATATTATATTAAATTGAACAGAATGAGTAGTCAAAATTCATAATTTAACTAAAAAAATTAGATTTACTTTAAAATATAGTTATAAAAAAGTCATACGGATGAGAGTATGAGACTTTGAGACACATGGTCCACATATTATAACAAGGGGAATGTTAGGGGTACACCAAATGTGTATCCTAAATGTCCCCCACCCCTTCCATAACCATTCATTTTTATTTACTTTCTATTTTAATTATTTTTTTAAATTTTCTTGCGGAACTTTATGTACTTTTTATTCTAGAGAAACTCCCTATATTTTTAAACAAAAAAAAAGTAAAAATAAAATTGCTTTGCTGTGAGAAAGTTCATAAAGTATAATATGGACCTCAAGTTCACATAATATAATATGGACGGATGGACCTCAAGCCCACTAAAGAATCACTATATTTATACATTCTACCTATCTAAAAACCTATCCATCTATTTTAAAATTATTTTATCTACATTAGACTATAAATATTAGTATAAAAAAATACTACTCTCTCCAGCTTAGAACTATCTTCTCAGTTACTATTCACACAGTCAAACTTAAATCACTTTCTTTACCTATTTCCATTAACTGTTGATAAAACAATATAGTCTTGTAGTCGGTCTCTTGTTTTGTAGAACTTTTGATGTAGTTTTTAAATATATAAATTTTATTTTTTTAATTTAACACCTATAATAAAATAAAATGAATTGAAAATAAAATTGGTGAAACATCGTAAACACAAACGAGAAGATAATTTTAGGATGAAGGGAGTACAAATTATATATTTCAAAACTTTATAGAAAGTTCTATAAATGGGATGCGACAAAATGATTGTATTTTCTCTAATAATTAATTAAAGAACATAAATAAAAAAAGGCTAAAATCATCAATTACTCCTTAAACTTTATGAGTTTTGCACGATTGATCCTTCAACTTTCAAAAGTCCATGAATAGTCTTTCAACTTTATGAGGCATGCACGATTGATCCTTCAAGTTTTAAAAGACAAGTAAATTCTACTAGGTACAACTACTCCGTATTATATGGAGCTAGTACTCCATTTAGTTTTTAACGTTTATCGTCAAAAGGACCTCACCTGGAGGGCTGGCGTATACTTGAAGGACTAGTTATGGACTTTTAAAATTTGAAGGACCAATCGTGCATAACTCATAAAGTTGAAAGACTATTTATAAACTTTTAAACTTGAAAAACCAATCGTGTATGACTTATAAAGTTGAAAGACAAATAGTAGAGTTTAGGCTAAACAAATATTAAACGGCCAAGCAAATTCACAACCAAATTAACAAATTCAAGTTAAAACTATGATTGCAAATGTGCCTTGACCATCAATAATTCAATATAATGTCTTAAACCAACATGAGAGAATTAAAGCTAAAAACAAAACACATTCATCATTATATCCCCACGCCAAAAATCAATGACCAACTCAAAGAATCTAAACTCCCAAGTCCATAAAACTCTGAACCAATGCCAATAGTTGCCTCCAAACTATTGCAATGGCCAGACGTTGTCATACTGGAACATAAAATGTACGTAGTACTGTTGCCAATATTAACTCGACTCCAAGCTATTGCACACGGTACGGTTCCGGTTCTGGAACCGCCGGTTCCAGTACCGCCACCCCAAGTCACCGGAACCGTCACCGTGCCGGCCGGTACCGGTTCCGGTTCCCGGACCGGCGGTTCTGGTACCAGACCGGCCGGTTTCGCCCCCTATATTTTTATTTTTTTTGTTGCTTTTTTTAAAATTTTTAAAGTATAAAAATTGTAAATTTGTCATTGTTTAAGGAAAGAATGAAATAAAAAAACTAAAAATGTAGTTGTTATTTAAATATTTTAAATGAATAATACACTAACTGAAGAACAACCACATTTAATATCCCGACGGTTCAAAAAAAGCGACGAGGTAAAGAACCGTAAAGAAACCCTCGAAGGAGCTTATATATCGCTCACCTAAAAAAACTAATTACATATTTACATTAACATAAAAAAAATTATAACTTATTCTTCAGAACTCGGACTTCCATCTGTTGTTGCATTCATGTAATGCTCCGATTCGAGTTGGTACGAAGCCTCTTGAGCTCGACGTCTTGCCAAGAGCCAATCTTGGTTGCAAACCAGTGTTTCAAGAGATTCAGCGCTAAGACAACTTGATAGTCGGTTAGAATGTTGCCGCCAGCACTGAATTCTCGTTCAACTGCTACGGTTGATACCGGAACGGATAACACTTGTCTTGCTAGCATGCCGAGACATGGGAACATGTGTTCGTTCCGCTTCCACCATCCGAGCACGTCAAAATCCACTTCGTCCTCATCGTAATCGCATGGCACACCCTGGTACATAGCAAGTTCGTTGTGCGAGCTTACTGTTGTACCACTTGAACTCGTCGAAGAATGAGCACGCTTCCCTTTCTTTGCAAGAAGACCACCGACTATTCCGGCAAAACCTTTTTTTGATTTCGGGGGCGGAGGTGGTGCTGTTTCTTCTTGTACAGTGCCGTATAACCCTTGATATTCCTCAAACAAATTCTCAAAAAAAGTTACAGCAT